ACTTCAGATTCAAAAACGAAAACAGATTTCAAGGCCAAAGGATGAAAAATATATCTTTTTAAAATACAAGATATTTGTAGAATTTAAATATTTTTAAATTTATTGAGAATTATTTTGTTGCATGACATGGTCGATCTTGGAGAATGTTCATATGCATTTGAAAATATGCATTCTGCTTTTTTGAGGTGGAGTGTATTCTCTAAGTCTATTAGGTCCAGTTAGTTTACACTGTTGTTCATGTTCACTATTGCCTTATTGATCTCTTACCTAGATGGTCTGGGTATTATTTCAAAGCTGTTTCTATAGAAATGTCTATTTCTCCTTTCAGTTCAGTCAATATCTGCTTATATCTTGAGGTTCTGTGGAGTGATGCATATATGTTTATAGTTATTAGGTATTCTTGATAAATTGACTATTATCAATATTTAATATCTCCTGGTCTTATAAAAATTTTGACTTAACATGCATTTATTCTGATGTCAGGATCAGCCATCCCCATTCTCTTTGGCTGCTGTTTGCAAGGAGGCATATTTGTTATCCTTTGACCTTGAAATCTTGAAACACAAAAACCTGCTTCTGTGTTTGAATCTGAAGTGAGTCTCTAGTAGGGCAGAGTATAATTAGATCACGAGTTTGGGCTTTTAAAAAATCTATTTTGCCGATCTCTGTATTTTAATTGGCAAATTTAGCTCATTTATATTTGAATTGATTATTGATAAGGAAAGAATTACTTCTGTCATGTTGGTGTTTCTTTTCTAAGAGTTTTGTTCCTCAATTCTTTTATTATCCGTTAATTTTGTTTTTAATAGACTTTTATAAGTACACCATTTTGTTTTTCTCCTAATTTTTTTTCTGCGTTTTTAAAAATTATTATCTTAGTTGTTATTCTGGTGATTACAATTACCACTCTAAATTTATAACAATGTGGTTTGAGTTGATAACAACTTCGTTTCTCTATATTGTTATTTTCACTAAATATACGCTTATATATTATAAGCTGTTAACATAAATTAATCATTATTATTTTATGTATTTATCTTTAAAATAGTATAGGAAACAAAAAGAGAAGTTAAAAACTAAAAATACACTTACAATGGCTTTTATATTTACCTATGTATGTACTTTTACTTGTGTTCTTTATTTCTTCATGTGTCTTTCAGTTTCCACCTAATTTTTTTTTTATTTCAAACTCCTTTAACATTTCTCATACGGCAAGTTGGCTATGAATGAACTCCCTCAGTTTTTCTTTATTTGTGAAAATCTTGATTTTTCTCTACATTTTAGGGATTTTTTTCCCACATATAGATTACATGGTAGACAGTTTTATTCATTCAGTACTTTAAATATGTAATTCCCCTCCCTTCTGCCCTCCATAGTTTTTGATGACAAATCAGCTATTCATCTTATTGAGCATATTTTGTATTTGATGAATTGCCTCCCTTGCTGCTTTCAAGATATCCTCCTTGTAATTATCTTTTTTTTTTTAATTTTAACTTATTGTTTTGATTTAGGGGCCAGACAAGGCAGCATTTGGTCAGTTACGAAAGGCACCTTATTGAAAATAATACCTCACAGTGCTGTTGAGTGATCCCAGTTACGGGATTTGAGACTAGAAAGGAGAATCTTTGGATGATATAACTTAGGACACTTGTTCATTTATTTAAAAGGGTCCCTTCACACACTGCAGGTAAAAGGCGGCAAGTGCATAGGATTGTGGCATGTGTTGGGTCTCTGTGAGAGGTTACTCCTGAGACTAGGTAGCCTGGTAAATCAGTGGTAAGTCAGGGGAAGAAAATCAGCCTCCCTTTCCATTCCATTCTCTTCTCTCTCCCCTTCATTTCAGTAAACTTGATTTACTGAGCCACCATCCGTGTGAATCCACCTTATATCTCTTTCAAATGTAGATATCTTTTTTTATTTATAGCGTGTGGAACCAAGGTCAGTATCAAAGCCTCCTTGTTCCAAGCTGTAGGACAGGCAGGGCAATTTGATTTCCTGTACTCTTGGTCTAGAACCCACGGAGTTCTGAGATAAAAGCTCAGGTCTTAGACCACTGGCTTTAAAAGATACTACCACCAGTCCAGAGTAAATGAAAACCCAGTTCCCTAGAAATAGTACTGTATCTCTCTATTTCTACCCCAACCCTTCAATCATGGTGTCTTTTTTTTTTTTTTTTTTTGAGACGGAGTTTCGCTCTTGTTGCCCAGGCTGGAGTGCAATGGCGCGATCCCGGCTCACCGCAACCTCCGCCTCCTGGGTTCAGGCAATTCTCCTGCCTCAGCCTCCTGAGTAGCTGGGATTACAGGCACGCGCCACCATGCCCAGCTCATTTTTTGTATTTTTAGTAGAGACGGGGCTTCACTATGTTGACCAGGATGGTCTCGATCTCTTGACCTCGTGATCCACCCGCCTCGGCCTCCCAAAGTGCTGGGATTACAGGCGTGAGCCACCACACCCAGCCAATCATGGTGATTTTTAAAAAATTAATTTTTCCCTTACACTTTAAAAACTCCCACCTATGTATAAAACAAACAAACTCACTACAATAACACTGCTGTTCTTCCAAGTATTCCTCTTGAGCCACTCACCAGCCCTCCCTCACCATCCTCACCCTGACCACCCTTTCCCTTCTGCCCAGCACCCAAGAGCAGGGATCACACTGTGGGGTGATGAGCAATGGTGCAGTGTCGCCTGGCCTTCTGATATTAGGATGTGGCTTTGGAGAAGGCTGCTAGGATGCACGTGCACACTACATCAGGGGACTGGGATGCATTGATGACAGAGAGGATTTCCTGTAGTACTCCATGAGTGGGGTGGTTTGAGTGTGGTAGGCTTGCAGGCAGATTTTCAAGCCTTTCTCATTATCATTTGATCAATGAATCAAGGGTTCCCTGGTGATGTTATCTTTCATGGGCTCCTTTGAGGGGTTGAAGTCTTCATGGTAGGAATGGCCACTCTTGGGGTGAATCAACCTTCCTGTGATTCTTCCAATCAGCAGAGAGTCTGGGATGCTGAATTCAATCACAGAATCAAGTTTCTCTTTCCTCTTTTTCATGAGGTCATCAAGCATTTCTGCCTGCCTCTCAGTACAAGGGAAGCCATCCAGAAGAAAACCACTTTTGCACCATCACCAAATTCTTCTAAATGAGGTCCACTACCATTTCATCACTCACCAGTTTCTCAGTATCCATAGTTGTCTTCAGCTTTTTTTCCTAGCTGAGCCAGAAGCCACCATGGCCCTGAGCATGTCCCCAGCAGCCAAATGGCAGACATAGAAGTTTTCAGCCAATCTGGGTTCCTGGGTGCCTGGGTGCCTGGGTGCCTTTACCAGCCCCAGCAGCATGGCCCGGATGCCTTTAGGATACTCGGGTTGCTGCTGGCCCACTGGGAGTCATGTCTACTGAAGTCTCTCACTGCCACCCACTCACACACCTCACAGGTCCAGTGCTTCCCAGGCCATCCGTCATTGTCTCTTAATAGCTTGATTTTAATAAGTCTTGATAGGAATCTTTTTGTATTTACCTTCCTTGGAGTTTACTGAATTTTTTAGATGTATAAATTTATGACTTTCTTCAACATTGGAAAGAGTTTGGCCATTGTTTCTCCAGATTTTCTCTCTCTTCTCCTGTGACTCTCATAATGCATATGTTTGTCTGCTTAATGTATCCTGAGGGGTCTCTTATAATTTGTTCACTTTTCTTTATTCTTTTTTATTTTAGCTTTATTTTTAGAGCCATTTTAGATTCACAGAAGAATTGAGAGGAAGGTACAGAGATATCTCATATTTCCTACAGTTGCATATCCTCCCCCATTATCGCAATTCCCCACCAGGGTGGTACATTTGTTACAACTGATAAACCTACACTAATATATCATTATCATCTAGAATCCATGGCTTACATTAGGGTTCACCTTAGTGTTGTACTTTCTGCAGGTTAGCGTAAATATATAATGGTATGTATCTATCATTGTAGCATCAGAGTATTTTCACTGCCCTAAAAATTCTCTGTGCTTCACTCCAACTACTTATCCCTTTCCCCCTCTCATTCCCTGGAAATGACTGTTTTTTTTTAAAAAAAAAAAAGTCTCTGTAGTTTTAACTTTTCTAGAGTGCCCTGCAGTTGGACTTGCATGATATGTAACATTTTCCCAGTCTCTAGCCTTAGGACTCACCCTTTACTGCAGTAGTGACATAACACACCCGTGAGAGACATCCAGGGAATGTAAAGTATGAATTTACAGGTAAGGAGTGCTTCTGCTCTCTTAATGGGTTTTGACGTCCAAACGCACCTACGTTGTAGTAGTCCGCCACGTGCTTACTCACTCATGGCTACTGTCTTCTCTCTGTCCCTTTCATCTCACCCTCAAGCCCAGTGGCCTCCTTGTCACTCCCCAAGTGACTTTCGACGGTAATGAAGGATAATTATCAGTGAACTGAACAGAAACCACTGAAACTCAAATATCATAGATCATTGTTACAAAGTTCCTTGACCCTTCTTAGTAAAGGTTGTTGTGTCTTAGTCACTTTCTTCTTTCTTCCTTAGGCTCCCTTCTGTTGCTACATTTGGGGCGAGAAATGGAGACATTGCTTCCTCCTGAAACTTTGAGCCAAACTCTTTACATACTCCTTCCTTTCTGGGAAACAAAGGAAAATCTCTACTAGTGTGTTATTCAGAGAAATTTTGCCCACCTCTGGCTTCAACCTCTCCCAACCAGACCAGGCTTTATTATGAAATAGCCGAAATACAGACTAATACAGGGAAAACTCAGACATTCATATAAAGGGTTAGCTCTCAGGTTCTTGTATCTGATATGTTAACCCAGGTTAATATATAAGTGATGGCAAAGAAGCCAATGTAGTAATGTGACTTGTTTTCTTTCTTTTTTTTTTTTTTAAGATGGAATTATCTTCTAAGTTTCAGAGGTAGCTTAACAACTAAATGGGGATGAAAACTGCTTTTCTTGGTTTCTTTTCTTTTAAATGATTCTCTTCGTTGCAGGATCTTACACATTTATTCCATGGCTTCTCAGCTTTAAAAGGGGAAGTGCCCTAGAAGAAAAAGAGAATAAAATATTGGTCAAAGAAACTGGTTACTTTTTCATATATGGTCAGGTAGGTTCAAACCCTAATTCTGCTTTTACTGTCCAAAGCCTCCTATTTTGTGTTCATTTCTGACAAAGTGTTTTGGTTTGTTTCTCAGGTTTTATACACTGATAAGACCTATTCCATGGGACATCTAATTCAGAGGAAAAAAGTCCATGTCTTTGGGGATGAATTGAGTCTGGTGACTTTGTTTCGATGTATTCAAAACATGCCTGAAACACAACCCAATAATTCCTGCTATTCAGCTGGTAAATAATATTTCTCAGACCTTGCTAATTGTGAAATGAAGAGATTTTGATGAAAACTCTGACCTGCAGAATGCAAAAATGAAAGGATGGTGCCCTAAAATACAAACAGACAGACATTCCTCAATATATTGTGTTTTCAGAATCTTGAATGATAAGCTAGTCTGTTTTAATTGAAAAAAGATGGAAGTATTACTAATAGTTTTACCATTTTGTGTACATTTAGAAAGAGTAGTAACTTCCTAGCATTCTACATTGAGAAAAATTCTAGTGTATTTTCTTCAATCCTTAATAACAGCAATAATAGTATCTAATGAGGGTAGAGTGATTACCACTTGCCAGGCACTCTTTCCTGCATTTTATTATGTGTACTTATTTAATCTTCCCATTTAAGGGAGTCAGAATCTAGACACAGAGAGGTAACATAACTTGTCCCGGGTTACACAGCTACTAATTTTTAGACTTAGTTTAGACCAGCTGATCTGGCTCCACACTGGGAGCAATGAAAACTCTTCTTGCATGCTGTGAAGGAAAGGTCCCTGGCTGGGTTTGAGGGCAAGGGAAAGTTGTATAATGGCTTCTTTCTCATACAGGTGACATTTTGTGTCAGTGGACACCCGACAGGTGACTTAGGAATGTGAAAGTGTAGGCGCAAACCTGCTTTTACACTCAGGAGCAGTGAGAAGCAGAGAGCAAGGCAGGCCTTGTAAATTTCAGGTCTGTTTCCGCTGTAATTGTCAACATTTCCTTCATTTTATTTTTCAAGGGTGATTTCAAATTAATCGAGGCTGGTTTTAAAGAAAAATATTTACTTCAAAGACATTTATTTTCTCTGGTTGATTTTGTAAAATCTAGAACCCTGAGGAATAGCATTCAGTTATCATGAATGTCTGTGTGACACACAGGAACAGAGACTGGCTATGCATTTTGAAATACTGTGTTTCAAAAGCGTTTACAAACAAATGCCCAATAAGTCAGTCAGAAACTAAGGAAAGCCAAGTGCGGTGGCTCTCACCTGTAATCCCAGCACTTTGGGAGGCCAAGGCGGGTGGATCACGAGATCATGAGTTCAAGACCAGCCTGGCCAAGATGGTGAAACCCCATCTTTACTAAAAATACAGTTAGCCAGGCATGGTGGTGGTTGCCTGTAATCCCAGCTACTCGGGAGGCTGAGGCAGAGAATAGATTAAACCCGGGAGGGAGAGGTTGCAGTGAGCCCAGATAGCACTACTGCACTCCAGCCTGGGCAACAGAGTGAGGCTCCATCTCAGAAAAAAAAAAAAAAAGGAAAAGAAACTAAGGAAAATAATTCCTAATAATGGAAATGATGTCATTCTGGATCTGCAGACACAAACTGCACTGGTGCGGGGTATAAGGAAGTTTACTAAATTAGAATTCCCTAATTTTCATAAAGAAATGTTTCCCTTCATCCAGTGCTGACTAGTAATTTGGAGTTGCAAAATATTTATAAATGGTGAGACTACTCCAATCTGTTATTTATTTATATTCATTAGTACTAAAAATTTTACAAGTAACTCTTTAAAACATTTTTCTAATCATCTGCTCCTCTTAGCACTTACTTGCTATTAGAGGACTCTGCTAGATTTCTTAGGGTGTCTTACTTTTTAAGAATAATTCACTTGACTTTAAAGATATTTTTCATTACTAGTAGCTTAGTGTTGTATATGAGTACCATCCTCTAGGAAGTTTCAGGTTTGCAATTTTAATCTGTTTTAGGGCAAATTTATTTACAGCTATTTAAAACCACACATTAGAGTATAAGTGCATGTTTCCATAGTAACCCGAAAAAATTTAAATAGCCAACTTAAGTTCAACATAATACCGAAGAACCACTTTTATATACAAAGCTGAATTTTATTCCTTATTCTATTTATAAAATGTTTTTTAGAAAAAGTTATACGTGATTGCTGCAACCTGGAAGAATTGAAATAGCCACTAACTTAGAGTTAAAATGTTAAACAGGCTCTATAGTTGTTCACACCCACCTAATCTTTAGAGTTAATATTATTTAATGCTTTGTGAGCTGCGGTCTTTGTCAAAATGTTAAGTCATTTCCAATCTCTAAAATAATGACAAGTTATTCAACAAATAAATCTCAATCTTTTTATTATTGCTACTTAAGGTAGTCCTGAAATGTTTTGTCAATTCTAGTAAGTGTACACATAACTTTTAATAAGTCCTAAAAACTTTCTTTCATTTGTAGTCTGTCTTTGCCCATTACAAAAAAGCACGCCCAGTGGGGACAGACATTTTGTCGTCCTTGATCACGACTCCATGTTTGTCTAGAAGGGTACCTGGTCCATAGTAAGTGTTCAATAAACTCCCCCTGGCTGTTGCCCAAGTAAATCTGCATGCTTTGGGCTTTAGGTTAGAATAGGCATGAACATACATGTGTTTATATAGGTATATTTTCACTATGCTAATGAAGCAATGCAGTTATTCTAAAAATTATTAGCCATAAGTATTGACCATTCAGATGACAGTTATTTTGTTAGTTTCTTTACTTCCTCTCTTCCCCTTGTTCCTCCTCTTTCTTCTCCTTCATATTTTTCTATTGAAATAGTGCCAAGAATTACCTGATATATTCAGTGTAGTCACTGAATGTATTTTGTTTTACTAATTCATAGATTCATTCGTCCTTGTAAATTAGTTGCACACAGAGTTATTTGTCATTATTAAGTGCTAATTACATTGTTGTTTTTGATTACCAAGACAAACATGATCATCTAAGAAAACAAAACATAAAAGATTGTGAAAAGTAATCCAGATAATGCTTAAACCCATAGTCTGGACTCTGAAGAAAAACTATATTAATGAATGTGGCATGTTAAGAAATGGTGTCTTGTTTTTTCACTTTTTAATATTTATGCTTTTTATATGTATGTTTAAAAATATGATTAGGAATATCTATATGTGTGTGTATGTTTGTACTTTTACACATTTTTATTTAAAATTATTATAAAAACTTTTCCTGTCAACAAAATTAAACAAAACTCACCTCTAATCATTTAATATTCAATCAAGAGATGTGCTATCATTTACCTAATTGTTTAAAAAGTCATATATTGAGCTTCTTTTGGGGCACTCCATTTTATACAGAGTAGATGATAAATGCATTTATATCTATTATAACTCCTTTTGCTTGTTTATTCTAAATACTTTTAGGCTAAAATAATTATACAGGTCTAGAAGTCCATTGGTGTATTTTGAAGTATGAATGCCTATGTTAACATTTTTTACAAAACAAAATAGTATTATTTAAGGTTCTTTTATTTTCTGTTGTATAACCCCTTATAGTTCTTGTACATAATTTTTCCCCAGGCATAGCAAAACTAGAAGAAGGTGATGAACTCCAACTTGCAATACCACGAGAAAATGCGCAAATATTACTGGATGGAGATGCCACATTTTTTGGTGCATTCAAACTGCTGTGACCTACTTACACCATGTCTGCGCTATTTTCCTCCCTTTCTCTGTACCTCTGAGAGGAAAGAATCTAACTGGAAATACCAGAAAGAAAAAAAAGTAGTTACCATAGCCTTTTCTGTGAGCTATTTGTTTTGGTTTGCTGAAACTAATCCAAAACAGGAAATTTAACAGACAACCACAGCCAAAGAGTGTCATGTGAATTACAAGAAATAGAGCCCATTTAGGGAAAGATAGAACTAGAAAGGCTTTTCACTATAATTCCATGTTGAACAATTTAGTCATAGCTTCTTATCTTGGAGGAAGGATGCAACTCAAAGGGGCAGTAAGAAGTTTGTAAAATGTGGCACCCATAATTTACTATGGAACAAGTGCCCACATCTCTAGGACATTAAGACATTTGTGAGAAATCTCAGGATTCATCTTCTGTTTTTATGTTAAATGCACCCCTCCTTTTCAGTTAACATTGCAAAAAGTAAAAAATAAAAATTTTAGAAATCTTGCATTAGACACGTGAAAAAATAACTAAAAGTTTAAATTTAAATGTGAAACAATTTGGCTGAAAATCGTATCCATATACTATGTAAGTCTTTTATGGTTATTTCGAGTATGCAATTTTTATCTCTAATATAATATATTACCCAGACATTTTTCACAGGAGAGAGAGAATATCCTCATTTGTTTATACTCATGTGTATTTTCTGTAGTGAATTTCAGAAAGTTTTAATGTCAGGTAATAATAATTTATGCATATAAAGCATTGATTGAAAAGTAACTACAATTGTTCATCGTCAAAAACATAATCTCCAACAGAAGTTACTGTATACATTTATACTAATGTAATATAATTTCCCTTTATTTCCTGTTCTTCTGTTTCAAACTGCTGCTATTGTAGTTCACATATCCCAATCTTTAAAAATATTCCTCTTATTAGCTTTAAATTCACTTTATAGATGTTGAGTTTTAATTGAAATTCTTGGTGTCCTGCACTATGTCACATACCATGTGCTCCTTATATGTATGGTGATATCCCAAAAAACATCATCCCAGCTTTCATTTTATAAAATGCCATACTTGAGAATGCTGTAATACTTATCTTTTATAACATGTTTTTTTTTTTTTTGCTTTGCTCATCTTTTACATCAACAGTTTAAAGTGTTTACTTCATGTAACAGTTTACATCATTCAACAGTTTATTAAACAGTAGATGGAAAAATAGATGCCAGTCTATGAAAATGTTCCCATCTATATAAAAATACTGATCAAGGCCATACTTTTCAAAACAAAGAAAACAATTTAAATTTTATGTTTAAAACCTAAACTTTACACTTAAACTTTGTTTAAACTTTAAACTTAAACTTTGCTTAAATATGTGGTTCCTGTAATTTTGACTTCAGTAAGTTCAGATAAAATATATTTTGCAATTCATTCTGTTTTACATTATAATTTAAAAAGAAGAAGCAATAAGTGGGGTCAGAGTTTCAATGCTGGGAGTGGTGGTTCATGATTTCTCTAGTGTTGCTGCTAATGTGGATTAACAAATAAAAACATTCATTGCCTTTTGCCTCATTGTCTGACTGAGTTTGTCTAGAAACACCCACCTTTTGAATTCTCACTGTATAATTAAATGTTATTTTTTAAATCAGGTGAAACATGATAAATTAATTTGTGTTAGGAGATGATAGTTTGGAAATGTAAATACTTTCCATATCCAAAAAAGGATCTGTTTGTATCTGTATCTATCTAACTACCTAATTTTAAATTATTTAGGAGACATTGGTTATGTTATTACCTTTAGAGTTTATCCAACAGTATGGCATATTTTGTGAGATTTTTAGTACAATATTAACTATATATTATTGGTGTAATATCAAGTATTAATATATATACTTATAATATTAAGTAGATATATAATTGAGAAAAGTTAATATCAGGCCAAGTATTCTCCTCTTGAGGGGCTAAGAGGTGGTAAAACTCCACCAGGACAAGCATCTTGTAGGGATCACAAAAGGCATCACTGAGGGCAATCTTGTTGGCAGCAATCTCTTATCACAACTTGGGCCCAACCCCCACTCTGCTGTAATTAGAAGGTTGTATTAGTCCATTTTCACACTGCCGATAAAGACGTACTCAATATCGGGTAATTTATAAAGAAAAAGAGATTTAATGGACTCACAGATCCACATAGCTGGGGAGACCTCACAATCATGATGGAAGGCAAAAGGCACATCTTACGTGGTAGTAGGCGAGGAGTAAATGGGAACCAAGTGGAAGAGGAAACCCCTTATAAAACCATCAGATCTTGTGAGACTTATTCACTACCACAAGAATAGCATGGGGGAAACCATTCCCATGATTCAATTATTTCCCACCAGGTCCCTCCCACAACACATGGGAATTATGGGAGTTAAAATTCAAGATGAGATTTGGGTGGGGTCACAGCCAAACCATATCAAAGATGCAATGGGGAATTCATAATCCTCACCATCTGAGATCTGATGATGGTGATGAGAGGAAAACAACAGGCGGGATTATAGATGTCAGAAAAGGGAGGAAATTCTTTACCATTGAGTTAATCACTTTACATGTTTTTAAAGTTTGACTTTTTGTTTTGAAATAATTTCAGACTTTGAAAACTATAAGAAAGACAAGTTTAATGAAACCCCTTATATTCCCAATGTTAACATCTTACAGTACAAGAGTAAAAGTCAAGACATTAACATTAATACAGCAACTAATGCATAGGCCCTGTGAACACTGACCGCAAACTAAGTTATAAACAAGATTCAGCACATTTTAAATAGTTGGCTTTATATCAATTATAGTCCCTCTACAGCAGCTTTAGTAAAAGAAATCAGTGATTAAAAAGTAAGGAAAATATGCAGTTGGAAATTAAAGTCGAAAGAAATCACTTCTAAATAATTTATGGCTTAAACAGAAAGCGTACGTAAATTAGAAAATGTTTAAAACTAGATGGCAAAATACTTCACAAGAAACCTTGGGAGTGTAGCAAAATCAGTACTAACATAGAATTTATAAACTTAAATGCTTATATTATAAAAGAAAAATGCCTAAAAGTTATGAGCTAAGTACCAACTGCAAGGAAAAAAAAACAAATAAAAAGACAAAAGCAAGATAAAAATGAAATAAACAAAAACCTTAGCCAAAGGAAATAGAAGAAAGCAATTAAATATAAGAGCAGAAATTCAGAAACTAGAAAAGGCAAGTAATAAAAAGATCAATAAGGCCAAAAATTTATATATAAATGAATATAAATATAGAGATAAATAAATATAATGAGATCCTTTTATCATAAAAATAAAATATTTTTATTTTATCATATTTAAACCTTAAGGTTTCTTGTAAAATATTTCATTATCAATGTTTTCAAAAAAATATGGAAGGCCAGCATAAACTATATTAGAATTGAAAATGGGGACAAACGTATAGATGCCAAAGAGAAAAATGAAAAAAAAAGTACTAAGAAAGTTTTGTCAATAAACTTTAAAAAATTAGATGAGAGATAAATTCCTAGATAAATATAAATTGACCAAACTGATCACTATGAAAGAGATAAAAACGAATCCATTAGAGATGTTGAAGTAGTTTACAATTTACCCCCAAAGGAATCATCAGGCCAAGACAGGAACATTTTCTCAGATACTCAAGGGGAAGACTATTTTATATCATGCAGATTATTTTAGAGAACAAGAGAGAGAGAATACTCCCAAATTCAACTTATATTTCCCTCTATAATCTTGGAATGAAAAGACTCTGAGGACAGAATTGTAAGTAACCATTACAAGCCAATCTTACTCATGAATGCAGATGCAAACATCTTAAAATATTAGTAAATTAAATTCAGCAGTATTTTAAAAAGATCATGCATAATAACCAAGTTGGATTTGATCCATATATACAAAGTTTTATATATATATATATATTAATAAGAGATATGTGATTATAATAAAATAGTAAAGGAGAATATCATATGATCAAGTCAGTAAATCCAAGAAAGAAAGTACAATTCAATATTTATCTATGGTAAACACTTTCAGCAAAGTGAGAATAAAGAAAACTTTAAAAATCCAATAAACTTAGCAACCAGAACAAGATAATTATTCTGGATGATTATTACCACTTCTACATTATAATGAAGCATCTAGACGTTTTAGCATTTATTCAAATAATATTTTTTGAATTTCTAATATACAAGGCAATATTCCTGGTAATTATTTAGTGGGAAGGGGGCAAAAAATAAAGAAGTAGAACATACAGCTTCCTAGATGGTGACAAATGCTATGGAGTCCAATCAAGTAGTAGACATAAGGCATTACTGGAGGGCGGTATAGTGCATACTTTAATTAATAATTGCCAATATTTTTTAAGTACTTATATTGTGTGAGAGATTCTTCCGGGTGTTAGTTTATTTCAATTTTCCAGCAAGTCCAAAAGGTTAAACCACTGTTCATATCCTTATTTCATAGATGAGAGTTATTTCATAAACTCACTTTATTTCCTAAACTTATTTCATAAGCTAAGGGTTTACCTAAATTGCCTAACCTTTTGCTGTAAATGGCAGGGCAAGATCTGAACCCAGGTCCTTTAGTTGTGAGCCCTTCAACCTCAGCACTACACCATACAGCCTGTCAGTTGGGGAAGGCCTCACTGAAGAAGGGCATGGAGAGGGTAATGTAAGTGACATGGTTTGACTGTGTCCCCACCCCAAATCTCATTTTGAATTCCCATGTGTTGTGGTAGGAACCTGGTGAAAGGTAATTGAATCAAGAGGGCAGGTCTTTCCCATGCTGTTCTTGTGATAGTGAATAAGCCTCATGAGATCTGATGGTTTTAAAAAGAGGAGTTCCCCTGCACAAGCTCTCTCTCCCTCTTTGCCTGCTGCCATCCATGCAAGACATGACTTGCTCCTCCTTGCCTTCTACCATGATTGTGAGGCTTCCCCAGCTACACGGAACTGTAAATCTAGTTACTCCCCTTTCTTTTGTAAATTGCCCAGTCTATGGCAGGCCTAATAACTGAATACAGGTGTTGACAATGAGAATGTCAAAAATGTTCATATTCTGTGTACCTTTAAAAGTGTAGCTCACAATATTTGTTGATTCTCCAGACATGGGGGCAGGAAGAGAAAAAGAGAGGCATGAAGGATAACTCCCAAGTTACAGCCAGAGTAACATGAATGATGAACATCCCCTAACAGGATGAGGAAGACTAGAAGAAGCTGGGATTTATCAGCAGCATGAAAACTAACGAATACAGTAAGATTTATAGGGAAGAGCTTTTGAGAGAGAGGAAATGGAAAGCAAAATCCCTTCAATGTGTTTGTCAGGGACAGTGGTCCTGGGGTGCCTAGAACACTGTGATCCACAGAGAAAGTAGAAGATGAAGCTAGAGAGGTAGGGAGGAGAGGGCACTGAGCCTGCAAGACCTTGCTGAGCACGGGGAGGGAACTGCTTTTAGTTTGAGTGAGAAAAGACGTCCTAGAAAGTTCTGAGCAGAGAAGTGATGTGATTTGACTTACTTGTACAAGAATCACTTTTTACTCTGTACTGTTCAGTCTGCACATGAGCAAGAGTGAAAGCAGAAGGCTAACAGGGGTTTGTAGCAATAATACAGGCAAGGAGTCATGGCATCTTGGACTAGGGTGGCTGAATTGTATGTCCTGTGTTGAATAAAATATTAAAGAATAATATCACATGATCACTTCAGTAGATCCAGGGGTAAAATGTACAATTCAATATTTACTTTTGGTAAACACCGTCAGCAAAGTGGGAATAAAAAAACTATTTAAGTAGAATAAACTTTGCACCCAGGACAGGATAATTATCACTGGATTATTATTACCACTTCTACATTTCCCGAAAATATTTGCTCAAGTAGTAACTCTTGATACCCATAGAGATGACCTTATTTGGAAATAAGGCCTTTGCAGATGTAATTAAGATGTAACTTAAGTGAAGTCATACTGTAGTAGGGTGGGCCCCTAAATCTAATGACTGGTGTTCTCATAAGAGGAGGAGAAGAGACAGAGACACACACAAGGAGAAGTTCATGTGAATATCAAGGCAGAGACAAGAGGGGTGTTTCTACCAGCCAAGAAACACCAAGGATTACCAGCAACCATCCAATGCTAAGAGAGGCAAGAAAAGGTTCTCTGTTAGAGCTTTTGAAGTGAGCAAAGACCTCCCAACCCCTTGATCTCAAACTTGTATCTTCCAGAACAGTGAGAAGTACTTGTTTTAAACCACCCAGTTTGTGATACTTTGTTGTGGCAAGCCTAATAATCAAATACAGGTGTTGACAATAAGAATGTTGGAAATGGTCATACTCTGTATATCTTTAAAAGTGTAGCCCACAATATTTGTTGATTCTCTAAACACAGGGGCAGGAAAAGAAAAAGAGAGGCATGAAGGATAACTTCCAAGTTACAGCCAGAGTAACATGAATGATGAACATCCCCTAACAGGATGAGGAAGACTAGAAGCAGTAGCTTCAGAGTCAGCAGGAAGGGAGTTCACTTTTGAACATACTAAATGTTAGTTGAA